GGATGTCGAACTCAGAGAGTTCTAAGGACCACTTCAACATTCGACCCTCCATGTCAGGTCGACCTAAAAGCTGTTTCACTGGTTGGTTGGTTCGTACTATGATCGTGTGAGCCAGGAAATAGTGTCTGAGTCTCCTCGCCGCATTGACAAGGGCTAAAGTTACTTTTTCTATCTATTGGTATCTGCTATCGCGCCCTTATAGCGCTTTGCTCGTGAAATAAACAGGCTTTTGTCCGTCGGTGGTCTCGCGGATGAGAGTCGCGCTGATGGCTCCGTTCGAGACGGCCAGGTATAAGAACAAAGGCTCCCCGTCAACTGGTCGAGACAATACGGGCGGTTGGGATATGCTTTGCTTTAGGTGGCACAACGCCTGTTCACATTCCTCGGTCCATTCGAAGGTTGCCTCTTTACGAAGGAGTTTAAAGAAAGGGAGGGCGTGCTGAGCGGACCTCGCGACGAAGCGGGACAACGAGGTGAGCATGTCATTCATGACTTATATTGACTTTTTCGACGTGGGTGTCGGGAGGTCGGAGAAGGCTCGACACTTGTCGGGATTGGCTTCAATTCCTCGTTCTGTCAGGTAAAACCCGAGGAATTTCCCTGCCTTGACCTCGAATGTGCACTTCTCGGGGTTGAACCTCATCTTACATTGTCTGGCTTGAGCAAAGACTGCTTTGAAGTGGGCTGCATGGTCGGTGTCTGCTCGGGATTTGACGATCATGTCGTCCATGTAAACCTCGAGCATGTCCCCAATTTGGTTGTGGAACACTTTGTTCATCATACGTTGGTATGTCACCCCTGTGTTCTTCAGACCAAAGGGCATTACGTTGTAGTAATAGTTGCCCGAGCTGGTCATGAAAGAAGTGCAATACTTGTCGCTTGCGGCCATTGGGATTTGGTTATAGCCTGAATATGAATCCATGAACGACAGTATTTTGTAACCGGCTGAGTTATCGACCAACATGTCTATGTTTGGTAACAGAAAAGCATCTTTTGGGCATGCCCGATTGAGATTAGTATAAACAACACACATTTGCCATTTTCCATTATTCTTTTTGACTAGTACAACATTTGACAGCCATGTTGAATATCGGGCTTCAGAAATAAAATTTGCCTCAAAGAGGTCTTTTACAACTTTTTCAGTAACCTCTGTTTTCTCTGGAGACTGCCTACGTCTACGTTGTACCACTGCCCTAGCGGCTGGATCTATGGCGAGACGGTGACAGGCGACCTCGGGGTCGAGTCCAGGCATCTCTGCGGCACTCCACGCGAATAAGTCAGCATTCTCGCGTAAGCAGGCTTTGATCTGCTTCCTTGCCAGGTCGGAGAGGTCGGTACCGATCTTCACTCCTTTGCTCGCGTCCTCGCCGAGGGGGACGAGCTCGAAGTCCCCGTCCAGAATTGGTCGGAGGGGGACTTGCTCGCCGCTGGGAGGCTCATCTTGGTCGAAGCGGGTGTCCAGGGCTATGGAGTCGACCTTTGAGGGAGCTCTCTGTTCTTCTGCCTTGACGAGCTCTATCTTCTCGGGCTCTAGTCGTGTCGTCGCTGGTCCCTTGGAGGGCCTTGTCCCAGTGTCGACCGTGTCGTGTCCCTTGGATGCCGCGTTGAAACACCTTCGAGCAGCGGCCAGGTCCCCTTGGATGGTGGCGACCCGTGCCCTCTTGGTGTAAAACTTCATCTTCAAGTGGACGGTAGAGGGTACTGCGGTCAGTTCTGCCAGTGTTGGTCTTCCCAGAATGCAATTGTAGAGGGACGGGCAGTCGATGACGAGGAAGCGCACCTTGACCTGCCTCGTCGTCGTGCCCTCGCCAAAGGTAACCATGAGCTCGACGTATCCCTAAGGTTTCGAGGTCGAGCCGTTGAAGCCCTGTAGGTCCGACCCCACATAAGGTGAGAGGTGTGAGTCATCGAGCTGCAAGGTCCGAAATAGTTGACTGTACATTACATCGACATAACTTCCTTCGTCGACGAGAATGCAGTGTACGTCAAAGTTAGCCATTCTCGCTCTTATTAGCAGAGGAATAACCGCATTGGGGGCCCTCCGAGGAGCTCTTCAAGGTAAAAGGTGATAGGCTCCGACCTACCTTTCACCCTTTCAAAAGTCACAGTCTGAGGAGGTGCAGAGTCGACCAGTTCATCCAGCTTCCTCTTGGACGAATTTATGGTTAGGTCGTTGAATCCTCCATCATTGATGACCATGGCAGAGGGAAAGTGCTCCCACCTACTGTGCGTTGACAACGGCTCTTGCAAGTGCTTGGGGACGTAGAAGTCCTCAGGTCTTGTGACGTAGAAGGTGGTCTGGATGGGGACCGAATCTTCAGATTGTTAGGCATCCTCCTCCGGTTCTCTTGCCTCACAAGCGTCGCAACGAGGAGCATCGTTTCGCCGATACTGGGCGAGTCTCCCCCTTTTATGAGGGTCTCGATGGCGTTCTTGAGGTGGACGCAGTCCTCCGTCAGATGGCCATGGCTCCTATGGTACTGACAATATTTGCTATTGTCCACCCGGGGGTTTGGCAGGAGCTGGTCGGGGGCGCTTGACGCTGCCATCTTTGAAATTTGTGCTGGCACACTCCTCCAAGATGCGCTCGCGGGAAGCCGTGAGCGAAGTGTATTATGTGAAATGCCCCGAGGGTTCTCTCTGTTCTCGGACTTCTCGGGGTTTGTCGTCTTTTCTTTTCTCCCCGGCCCGTCGAGGAGGAACGACCTCTTGGCGCGGGTTGCTGCTGGATCCGCGAGTCCTGGGGTCACGGGCTCTGTTGGCCGCTTCCCTTTCCTCGTAATCCATATAGGCCCTGGCCTTCTCGAGAAGAGCATCGAACATTCGAGGCGGTTCGATGCCCACTGCTTTTCTGAACTCTGCCGGGGAGGAGTCCCCTCTCCAGCAAGTATCTTTTCATGTGGTCCGCGCAGGAGACCTGGATGGCTTCACGATTGAAGCGGTTGATGAATTCTATCGAGGTTTCATCCTGCCTCTGGATGATAGCCTCGAGTGCCGCTTCGGTTTTTGGATGTCGCCGCGACGCGGTGAACGAGCTTATGAATTGGTTTTTCAAGTTTCTCCACGAGGTGATTGACCCCGGGGAACGACCCTTGTATCAATCCATTGTTGCTTTCCTGAGGGTTGTGGGGAACAACTGGCATTTTATGGGTCCCCCAACGTTATGGTAGTGCAGCATAGCTTCGAACCCGTCTATATGATCGACCGAGTCGGCGACTCCGTCGTATTCCTTCAGGTGAGGGGGCTTCTCCATGCCCAGGGGGATTGGTGCCTCCATGATGGCTTGTGATAGGGGACCGCGGGGGTCGTCCTCATCACTTTGTTTTGGGGAAAGAGACGAGGACCTGAGGTATTGTCGGGCATGACGGTCTTGATCGTGTTGGATGTCCCTCGAGCGGTGCACTCGTTGGATATCTTCTTTCTTGCCGTAAGGGGCCGTGGTTGCGCCCTCCGGCTTCAATGATTGGTTCCCTCTCCAAGGGGGGTCGTCTCCCCGACTGTCGGGGTGACGGGCTTCAAGAGGTGTCTCTGTATTGTCTCAACGGAGGAGATGGGAGACGTACCTCTGTTCTTCGAGGAGGCGGGGACTGAGGCCTCCTGTGTCTCCTCGGGGGTCTTCTGTCGTCCTCTAGCATCCTCAATCTTTCCCCCTGGGTAAAGATGAGGTAGTTGGTTTGGTTGACTGCCGCGAACAATGCTCTGGTCGTGGCGTCTGCCCCAGCGGGGACAGGAACCTCCTGGAATTGGGCGGTTAGATAGTTTGGGGGAGCTGTATTGTCTTCTTCGAGCGGAGGGGGGACTGAAGAAGATGAGGCCGTGACTCCGTCCCAGTGACCTGAGGGCCCGGGGATTTCGCCCCCGGGGAGTGTATTATGGCCGGGGTTGCCAACGTTCTCGGGGACTCCGTTCTTGTCCGCGAGGTTGTTGTTGGCATCAACGATGCAGACGTTCTGGTCGTCCCGAGTTTGGTCATCCATGACGGTGGAAGATGGTTTTTAGCTTTGGTCTTTGAGGGTTTGTAAGACGGGGAAGCTAGTTTCCCACAGACGGCGCCACTGATCTTACCGAATCAGACTTGGACCGTCACAGCTGGCTCGAACTGGATTTGAGTGAGATATGGGAGGGGGGGGGGTACCTGCAAGACACTCTGATGCCAAAATGAGAGACAGAATGGGCAGGCAAAAAGTATGTAGGCGTGTAATAGATGAATATCTGACCCTCTTGGAACATAGGGTATTTATAGCCCCCAGTGCTGGGCCAAGGTCCCCTCATTAGGCTGACCAGAACTGGTCCAATAAAGGAACTGCCAGGTTCTACGTGTGTAGTGGAGATCCGCACGTGGTCCCCTTCCTGGATGGTGCTCTGCGAAGAATGAGGAAGGACGAAGGCACGGTCTTTCCGGAGTTTTGAGGATTCCATAACGGTTATAGTGGACAGGATCTGCCCTACGGAGAGGGTGCTCGAGCTGGACTTGAGCTGGAGCTCCCCTGGTCGGGACGCTGCTCGTCGAGGACAACGACAGGCGTTGCAGCTGTAGTCTGTAACCGGACACGTTCGGTGATGGTCCGATTGTGAGCATTCCCCAGAGAACTACTTGGATCTGAGCCTTTATTTACACTTTGGGCCAATGTGGATCCAGTCCAGAACAAAAATAATGAAATTTAATCATAGAGTTTATTCTATTATAACGAACCAATACTTAATTTAAAGATGTCTTAATATGATTAAAAAGAAATTGAAATAAAGGTTGTACTAAAATATTAATAAAATTAGAGAAAAAAATCGGAGAAAGATACAATAGACAGAAGGAGGATTAACTAATAGTAAGACAGTGCCCTTATTTTGTACCCTAACCCAACTGTGTTGCGGCTGTGTTTAACGAAGAAGCTACACTCCCCCTTGTACTTTCGCTCTCACGTTGATTCGGCGGCGGAGCTTCATCATCTCTCCGGCGATCCTAGATTCCGACGCGACGAAATCAGTTTCAATCACCGGCTAAAATGACAGAAAATCGTAAAGTTCCGAAGCTACCAGTTGAAGGAAAGCGCAACATCCTCATCACCAGTGCTCTGCCTTACGTCAACAACGTCCCTCATCTCGGCAACATCATTGGATGTCAGTTCTCTTTATTCTCTCTCTCTCTCTCTCTCTCTGTCAAATCACCGATTCATTTCCCTTACACAATTCACTTGCATGTTCATGGATTCGTTCATTTCTTGGATTGAATTATTTTGTTCCTTTCTCATGTTCGTAGTTTTGAAATTCACATGCATTGGTTTGATTTTGATCAGGTGTGCTGAGTGCTGACGTGTTTGCTCGGTATTGTCGACTTAGGGGTTACAATGCTATTTACATCTGCGGTACTGATGAGTATGGCACAGCGACAGAGACTAAAGCTTTGGAAGAGAATTGTTCTCCCAAAGAGATTTGTGACAAGTATTCATTCATTTCCTCTTAAGTTGTTTTTATTCATTTGGATTTAATTCAAGTAACATGTGTTTGATTGCTTATTTTAATTTTTTATGTGTTTTCGCAACTTATTTTGTTATGTTTAATGACTCAATGCATTGCCAAAAGGAATAATTGCAGCAAGCCTATATTTCATGGTGTGCATGTTGTTAAAATGTGGCATGTCATTGATGCGGACTAGAGTTGTTGACATGAGTTATTTTATTTTATTTTTTGTTGGTAATTTTGTGTAATGTGTTTTTGACCTGAGGATATTAGTATTACACTTGTTGGGTACTGGGTAATTCCTTGAACAGAATTTCACTAATGATAATTTCTCTGTGTTTGTAGATACCATGTCATTCATAAGGAGGTATATGATTGGTTTGATATAAGTTTTGATGAATTTGGGCGGACTTCTTCCCCTGAGCAAACTGAAGTTTGCCAGGCAATTTTCAAAAAGATACACGAAAACAATTGGCTCTCCGAGGACACATTACAACAGGTGTTTTGTTGTCTTTTGTTTCTCTGGCTAAAATGTATTTGTTTAAATATTCTATTGGTTGTTGTTAGCATCATACCCTCCAATTTTCTTGAAAATTGGAGTTGTTTGATATGTCAAGATTTCTGCACGGGTCTTTATTATGCTTTACTTAAATGTATGAATTTTCAGCTTTACTGCGATACATGCAAAAAGTTCTTAGCCGATCGGCTTGTGGAGGGTACATGCCCTATTCCCGGGTGCGAGTATGACTCTGCTCGAGGAGACCAATGTGAGAAGTGTGGAAACCTTCTAAATCCGACAGAATTGAAGATTCCCAGGTGCAAGGTAGTAAACTCCCCTTTCCCTAAAATTTTGGCTCTATGTTTGCGATAATTAGTTGTATCAGTCAAATTTATGGAAGCATTTCTGTGTCATATATGTGATTTTTGAATGATCTTAGGCTATGTTTAGGAGTTACAAAGGGAGGGAAGGACTTTGGAGGAGAGGGGAAGGTCCTAATTTTGGGAACTAAAAGAAACATCTGAAGAAGGGCTTTAGAGGCATTTTAAAAATCTCCAAACTCTTTCGTTCATTTTATAAAGTTCCAAATAAGGAGTAGGCTCACCACAAACCCCAAAGAAATTGAATGATTATTTATATGTTTTGAAATTTTTAGTTGCTTTGAATTTCATTATACTCTCTGATACTTGTAGTTTTGTTTTACATTTTCGTTGGATTTCTTTTGATTCTTATGTGTTTGAATCTAGAGCGTATGTGCACGAGAAAAAGAGAATATGAGATTAATATTTTTAATCATCATTTTAAAGGATTAATTTTATTTCAAGCAGTAAAATGTTGAAATGAAAAACTAATAATTAATTTAACATTTTGTTACTATTAAAGCAAAAAACTGTTATTACATACTATATATGTATTGATGTTAATATATTAAATAAAGTTATTAATTATTATTAGTTTTAAAAAAAGCTTATACACAACAAAAGTAAAGTTAAACTCATTTATTTCCCCATTTTTTACTGTTTCACTCCTTGGCATTTATTCTATATATTCTTGATAACGCTTTCAATGGCAATATTTTTATTTTTCTTGGTTAGATATACACATTCATTAGTTATGCATTATTATATACATTGCTATATGCAATGGCGTTTAAATTCTTATACTTATTTACAATATTTTTCTGGAAATTGCAGTTAAATTCTTATACTTCTTATCTTCACATTTTTATTTCTTTATTATTGAGTATGTATACTTTAAAGTTTATGAGATTTATAAAACTACATGCAATTTAGTAAATTGTATCAGTGATTGGTGGTTTATATGAAACTTATATTAATATTAGTTTTATAATGCCAAAAGTAAACAATAACAATAGCAACATGATAACTTGGAGAAGCTACATGATATTGGTGGAGAAAATAAAGAAGATTGAGGGCATGTCCCCCAAACAATATCGAAATTACAACGATAACTAGTATCTAAAATGAAATAGCAAATTAAAGGGTTATCATTTTTTTATTTATTTTTAACTTTAACAACACCATCTGAGAAATGAAATACCAAAATAGCAAATTAAAGGGCTCTCATAAACCTTTTTTTTACTTTAACAACACCACCTGAGAAAAATAGCATATTAAAGGACAGTCATAAGTTAGTAGCAATAAGACACATTACACTATGAAATAATAATTATTGCTTGATTTTTATTTATTAAGAAAATCAACAAAACATTAAAACCAAAACTAAATCGAGGTTGATCCTTATCTCATGTTTTATAGCACGAGTAAAAAAATGTTTTATAGCACAAAAAAGTTTATACAAAACTCAGTCACCAAAATGCCCCAGATTTAGGCGGGAAAACTACTACAGAACTACCTTAATATATTTATTTACTCTCTACATAAAAAGATTAAATCTCATTTTTTGAAGCAGACATGTTTATTTTCCATAATCAAGTACATTTTTATAGCTTTTTGGAAGTCTAGAGAAATTTTAAGTTGAAGTCTTTTGGCATATGTAACAGGTTTGTCGAAATAGTCCTCGTATTTGTGATACGGACCACTTATTTCTTGAGCTCCCTCTTTTGAAAGATAAGTTGGAAAAATACATCAATGAGATGTCTGTGGCTGGATCATGGAGTCAGAATGCTATTCAAACAACAAATTCATGGTTCAAAATGGGATTAAAGAAACGTTGTATTACCAGAGATCTGAAGTGGGGAGTTCCTGTTCCACATGAAAAATACAGTGACAAGGTAAGTTTTCCTTTGGGTCTTCCAATATTTCAGTTGTGTTTCATGCAGTAATTTTAAAATATATTCTTTAAATTGGAAGGTTTTCTACGTTTGGTTTGATGCACCTATCGGATATATATCAATCACGGCAAGCTACACACGTGATTGGGAGAAATGGTGGAAAAATCCGGAGAATGTGGAGTTATTTCAGTTTATGGGAAAGGACAACGTGCCATTCCACACTGTAAGTTATTATCTTCAAAACAATTTGAGGATTTTTTAATTTGTTATGTGCTCTAATGTTCGATTGGGATTGCATATCAATATCTTATTTCCTATCATTTTCCTTCATTGATCAGTGATTCTTTAGCTAAGTTAAAAAATTCGTATGTTGTTATGTCCAAGTTCTGTCCCGGGATATCAATCAAACACCTAAATTGCATCCATTAGCAGATTTTGCATTGCTATTGTATCTCATTCTGTTCTCATTTCCCTACTCTTCCTATCCTAATAATTTGATATTTGCGACGTTATTGAATCACAGAGGTGAAAAGTTAAAACCACATTCCACTGGCATACTTGGCTTTAGCAAATTTAAAATCTTCCTCCATTCATTTATGTCATAATTCATGTTTAAAACAAGTCTCTGTTCATCTTGTTCAGCGTCACGAGCTTAAGTCCAATGATTGCATGCTGTACTTCCAGTCGTAAGCAATGTTCTCCCTCCACCACTCATCACTGCCGAGCAGTGTCTTCCAGTTATTCAACATCAGCCATGCACATTATATCTTAATATGCTAAGAACCTCTGTTCACTCCCCTAGATTGCAGCACGCAACCCTATTTTTTTTCCTTTCATTTTTAACCATTTATTCTGCTTCTCAAAGCCTTCATTGCTCAGTATTTTTTAAGTATGGTTTATTAATTTGTAACATGTCTTCAACTTTTGTATTTTTTTATTATAATTTTGAGTGTTTATTTGTAGTTTTTATTCATTATTTATTTTGAATCTATAATCTTTCATATAACGGCCATCTTGCTTTCGTGTTTTACGGATGGCTTGCTTTGTGCTGCTATCTAGGATTGATATTCTGTAGTAACATGACTTGCTTTGTGCCACTATCCAGGATTGATGTTCTATAGTAACATATAGTCGTATACAAAGATATTTCATGCATTGCTGTTTTTCAATTTTTTGGACTACAATAATATATTCCCATCTGCCTATCTATTTCTTTATTCTTCTTTCTCTTTGTTTTTGTATGATAACTGTTCAAATGCATTCCATCGTCCTTTATGTTTTGCATTAATAACATTTTGGTCATTTTTGTTTTTTGAGTTTCAAACTGTTCCTTTTAATCACCAAATGTTTGCAATGTTGGTCAAAAACATTATTTATGAAAAACACAAAGGACTAGTTTGATGCCTTAAAGGACCAGTTTGACACTCAAAAACAAAAAAGGACCAAAACGTTATTAAGGCAAAACATAAAGAACGAAATGATGCATTTGGCCTATTTTCTAATATATTGGCTTCTGCCACACCCCCAGCCAGTATCGTAGCATGCCACCTTTCCCAGATACTTTCACATTTATTTCATTACCATCATTCATTCTACTCTGCGAATTGTTGTTAACACTTCCGAAATTATCATGCTGTTTATTTTGCTACAGCCTTTATTCTTGTTTAGAGTCCAATATTAGACCCATTGAAAGATCCTGTTAGTGTTATTACTTATTAGATCATGGAAGTTCACCCAAAATGAATGGGGCTAAAAATAATAGCCCAATACCCCTCTATTATGAGAGAGGCTAATAATTCTGCTATTGTTTTCTTTCCTCTCATCAGCTGATGCCACCATAAACAGTGCAGTCCACCGTGTATTTGCCTCGTGCTCCGTTGTCACAATAACATTTCTTCCACTTTGCCTAGTTTGCACTTCTCATTCTTCATGATCGAGTTTAGGATCGGGCCTAACTGGCTCCACTTTGTTCCCATCTTTGTCACTCCTACTCCAACTTTACAACGTGGAGCATTGCTTCAATCATTTACCAATCCTGAATCCTTCACACAAACCCAACAACTCCACCCACGTCAGTTAAAATGCAAGGCAGGAAACCTCTCTGCTCAAGTTTTGGAACCGGACTGTTGCCCAAACTGGTTGAGGTTAAATGGGTCTTCCGGTTTTCAACGGTTCAAACTGATTTTTCCTATTTTCCCGGTTGTTTTGGACTGCCAGTTTTCTATGCCTGTCCGGATCAGCACCAGCTCCGGTTCATGGTCCAACCAGTCGAACCGTCCGGTCCGGTTCTGTTTTTAAAACATTGGTTATGACCATTGTGGGTTTTGAACTTGTGTCAACAAATTTGACATGATTTCCACTCCAAACAACCAAATATTTTGATGACTAAAAATGTTGACCTTCTGTTATAAATTTTCAACACAGCTATTATTCCCTGTTTCATCTTAGAATTTTGGTTGGGGTCTTCAATAACACAAAATTAACTTTTAAGGTGAGAGATACATCCCACTTACAGACATTTTCAGACTATATCGCACTGAGATTCTTAGCATTTCATTTGTGTCAAATTGGAACCCTGGGAGTTTATTTGCCTGGGAAGCTTTTTCTGCTTTGTCATGTTAAGTGCATGTTTGCACTAGTTTTTTTTGTTGTTTCTATTAATGTAGTGGCCAACACATACTCACCTTAACATTTGCCGGAAGGAGAAAATGTGGTGATCCAGATTTGAACTTGGGATTCCACATAAAATGTCCTCACAAACAAAACAAACCACTAAGATGTAATTAAAAAAATGTTTTTACCATGTTTGCATTAGCTTTTTGTGTAAAATAGATTCTTTGAGCAGCTTCCTAAAAGAGCTTAGAAACGGTGTTGTCAAATATGGGTTGTGGCGGCAGCGGCGGAATTTCATCAGACTGCCATGAGATAGGTAACCCGGCGGATTTGAGATGGTGAGTCTTGGCGGCCGCCAGACTTGTGGCGGCTGTGGTGCCCATGGCAGAAAAAACGGACAAGAACAAGGGGGAGTGGGTTGGGTCGTAAGGCCTGACCTGAAAATTAGGCCCAAGAAGCATTAACCTAAAACCAAACCCTTTTCTCGAACCGTATCAATCTCATGCCTTCGTCATAAAGTTTTCATACACACTCCATCAAGCTTGCACAATATCTAGTGTTCCTCCGAGCTTCATTTTTTGCTCTCCGCCATGGACAACACTGATTAGAAATAATGATTTCACCTGGAAAATTTGGCCCAAGAAGCATTGACCTAAAACCCAAACCCTTTTCTCTAACCACATCAATCCTATGCCTCTGCCTTCAAGTTTTCTTACATACTCCGTCAAGCTCACACAATATCTAGTGTTCCGTCAAGCCTCATTTTTTGCTCTCCGCCATGGACAACACTGATTAGAAATAATTATTTCACCTGGAAAAAACCTTTCCCAAATAAACACATGTATGCTGTAAATCCTGATCAGCATGTGTCCATCCTACGCTCTTGCCTCTAAGTACTGAATTTTGACACCTTTAAATTGTACTTATATAATGCCGAACCGAATGATCTCTTTGGTGTTTGGAATCTTGGTGTAGCAGCTATTTGCTCAGTGAAGTTTGCAAAAAAGGCAAATGCTATCATAAGGGCACATATTAATGTACTAAATATAGAAATATTGTCTTGAAATGTGTGCATTCAGTTCCTTGAAAGTTAAAAAAAAAGTACTTTTCAACACAATTTTTAATTTTAGATTCCTTAACACGAGCTCTTTAGAACCAGCTTTCGTTGCTTGATGGAGTGGATTGTGTGTTATGGTTGTTGGTTAAAAAAGTTCTTTGGAAATTGATGGAATTTATTCTTCAGGTAATGTTTCCATCTACTCTACTTGGGACTGATCAAAATTGGACTTTAATGAAGACTATTAGTGTTACTGAATACCTGAATTATGAAGCAGGTTAGTAATATGTTTGACAATGGTTTATTTGTGAATGATGCATAAAGGTTTAAAGTTAATAATATGTTTTATGCTTGAACGTTTGTTTTGTTTTGGAAAATATTCTGATTTCATTTCTTATATTCACTATCAACTTTAAAACTGTCTTTATTTTATTTATTTATTTATTTTATATATCTTTGATATATACCTATGAACTTCAAAACTGCTATCTTTTTTTTTTTCCGATAACAAAAACCACCATCTTGTTTTCTCTCTGTTTCATATTTTCAAAGAGTTGTACAAGAGACAGTTAAAACAGCTTTTTTTAATACTCACTAATTTCTGTACAACTATTTGAAAGTAGCAAACAAAGTCAAAATGATTGGCTGTTTTTGCAATAGAAATGAAACAGATGTTTTCAGAAACCAAACACAGCCAACATTTAGAAATGGTAATGTTTGTCATTTAAAAATTTCAAAGTAATAAAATGTTACTTAAATGATATCTAGGGAAGTTTTCTAAGAGCAAAGGCATCGGGGTATTTGGTAATGATGCAAAAGATACTACTATTCCAGTTGAAGTATGGAGATATTACTTGCTCACAAATAGGCCTGAGGTAATTATATTTCAAACATATATTAACATTTATATTTCTCTCGAAGAATAAAAACATTATATTTTCTCTCGCTTTATTGAGTACATTGAGTATGATATGCATTTGTAGGTATCAGATACACTTTTTACGTGGTCTGACTTGCAAGCAAAATTAAATACTGAGTTGCTGAATAACTTGGGAAACTTCGTCAACCGAGTTTTGAGTTTTATTGCCAAACCTGAAGGTTGGTTTACTCTTTGGTAATATTTCTCTTGAAATATCCGCTGATTAGTTGCTACAAATGATAATGAATTAAATACATGAGGACTATGAGTATAATTCTTGGAGTTATTGATACAGCTTTTCCTTTCTTCATTATGATCACTATTTATTGAAGTTGTTTTTTTTTGCCGCGTGTCATTTTGTTTACGTACTCACTTTGTCTTGTATAGGTCAAGGATATGATTCCATTATTCCCACTGTTCCTGATGATGTAAGTGGCGACTCCCATGATCCAACCAAAAAATTGGCCAGCAAAGTTGCTGCATATTTGGAGCAATACATAGAAGCAATGGAGAAGGTTTCTAATCCCTATTTTGAAATAGCATGACATTGGCAGACATGTTTGACTGTGTTTTTTATTTTCTTAAAAATTTAATTCTATTTTATTAAACAAATTTGAAAAATTGTTTTCATAATAAAACCGAAACAATATATTTGGTAATGTTAGTTTAAAACAATTTTAAAGTTTAAAAACTTTACTTGGTAAATTTGTTGAGATAGTGTTTTAGAAAGTGAAAAGTTCTTGGTGGTGGCATGACAACTGGTGGTTTGACAACAATGGCAACGGTAGGTGGACGGTGCTAAACAGTGGTAGCAGTGACAATGGAGCGTATCAGGCGGCAATGCAATGAAAATGGAGCATTTCCAGTGGCAATGGTGGACGGTGGTAGTGAATAGTGTCAAGTAGATGTGGTGGATTTTGTTGAAGGGGTGGGGCAACAATCGATAAAAAAAATGAAAAAATAAACTGACTTTTTATTCAAAAAATGAAAAACAAAAATGAGTTTTGAGAATATAAAACTCCTCGAATAAGTTTGTTTTATATTAAAAAAAAACAACAATTTGTATAAGTTGCGGTTAAACAAACCTGGAAGCCCAAGAATGCACTTTTTACTTTTATCATAATACCAGTCTGATAGTATTTCTTTTTGCAAAACTGTAAAAGGTTAAACTCAAGCAAGGATTGAAAATTGCAATGAGCATATCCGGTGAGGGGAATGCATATTTGCAGGTAACTTTTGAATTGCTACATTCTATATTTTTGCCTCTCCTGCCCCTCGAAATATTCATTTATACTATTTTGGTGTTGATGTTAAATGCCTTTGTAGCCTGCTTAACTTTTGTGCAATAAATATTGTAGGAAACTGAATTTTGGCGTCTTTACAAGCAAAACCAATCTCTCTGCTCCCTTGTTATGAAAACTGCTGCTGGGATTGTATATCTTCTTGCTTGTTTATTGGAACCTTTTATGCCATCTTTCAGTCTTGAGGTAAAATAACTTCCATAAATATTTGTGTGCCTCTTTTGTTGATATTTTGTTTTAATTTTGATGACTTATTCTTTTAGGATAAGGATGAATGTTCAAACTTGGGCTAAGGAGTTAGTTAGGGTTGTTGTTTGTTACTGAGGTAGTTAGGACTTAGGATTAGCATGTATGTATATGGATGTTACAGAGTTAGAGAGGGTATCTTTTGAGTATTTTGTAATGTTTAGCGAACAGAGTAGTGACTATGTTAAAAGGGGAATCCTCGGAGGAGAGCTTTCTCTTGTATTCTTTCTTATTTTCTCAATAAAAGTATTTTTTGTTTTTTTATTCTTTTGAATTCAGTTCTTGGGTTCCTAATATATTCCAAGACATTGCTCTTCTCTGTTTTCTGGCACTGAAGGTATTCAAGCAGCTAAATTTGTCCACGGAGACACATCTTTCACTTTCTGATGATAAAGGAGATGTTGATAGAGTAAGAAGGCCCTGGGATCTCCTGAGTGCTGGTCATAAAATTGGAACACCAAAGCCATTGTTCAGGGAGCTGGTATGTTGCATGCTTTGGAAATGAATTAAAGGATTGCAGTTGTACTTTTGTTTTGAGTCATTGACGTATTCACAATCCTTTTACCAGAAAGATGAAGAAGTGGAGTTCTACAGGAAGAAATTTGAAGGAAGTCAAGCAGATAGGGTTTTGCGCGCAGAGGCCGAAGCTGCTGAAAATGTTGCTGCACAATTGAAGAAAACAAAAGTTTCAGGTGTTTATTGCATCCATTTCTAATGAGAGTTTTATGTTTTGAAAGGTCAACAAAGACAGAAGATGAGGTATTATTATTATATTTTCATGACAACCTGAATATCAAGAAAAAGGGGAACGGTATATTGATGCTACCTTAAGAATGTCTCACCTCAAATATTGTGACAACTGGCTCTACAATAAGCTAAATAACATGAACAGTTGGACCTTTTATAATCCCAGCACTCTACTTTAACAGCAATACATTGCATGTTTGATATTATATTTTCTAAAGAGTTCTATAATATAATTATTATTAATATAGTAAACATTACAGACACTTCTCATTTGTTACGGGCTAAAAGCTGTTAACTAGTCTTTAAGAATTTATTAATCTTTAAAAGTCATTGGTGTTATGGCATGGTTTTTCTTTTTTATTTCCTAAATTGCACTTTACTTGAAAAAAAGACTGTTTATCATGGGGTTTCTTAGTTAATGTAAAATATAGAGGAGTTATTGCACACTTTATTATCTGGGTATGTTGGTAGTAAGCTTAACGAGAATTTAGGCTTGATTGGTACCCCGCTAGTTAATAACTGAAATTGGTTAAACCCTGTTTAGGCTAGGGTAAGTTTTATCAACAGATAACTTAACTTTCAAGATTGTTTTTCATTGGTTAGTGCCATTATTTGCAACAGATGGCACTGGGAAGAAAAAACCCGGGGCAAAATCAGCAGCAAAATCATCAAATGAAGCCAAAAACAAGTCTGCTGCTGAACCAGATATTTCCATCACAAGGCTTGATATTCGAGTTGGTCTCATAAAAAAGGCTGAAAAGCATCCTGATGCAGATTCACTATATGTTGAAGAGATTGATGTTGGTGAAGAACAGACAAGAACTGTTGTCAGTGGACTTGTCAAGTATATACCACTTGATGAAATGCAGGTTTGTTATTGATGTCTATATTCTTTTTTAAATAACAACTTGTGATGGTGATGTTTCATCTATTGTTTAATTAATGCTGATGGCTTTCTTCAGAACCGAAAAGTCTGTGTTCTTTGCAACTTAAAACCAGCAAGCATGAGGGGCATTAAATCCCAAGCTATGGTTCTTGCTGCTTCCAATGATGATCACACCAAGGTATGGAAAAACAATGCATTTTCCTTTTCAACAGGGGGCGCAGGTCGCACTTGTTAGCATTTTAAACTACCCCACGGTACTATTATAGTAGTATGACTAAAGTTATGATGATTATTATGATGTAGTATGGCAGCACTTGGTAATTGTTTATGATTTAAAGATGAAGTAGGTTTGCTTATGATTAGTGTTTACTGAAAGACAATTAAGATCTCCAATAGTGATATACAATTTTCTTCGTTGTTTTTACCCTGCTTTTTTCAACTAACAGACATTAATAATCAATCACTGAACTTCCCCTTAGGGATTAATTACAATTAAGCTCAAAGATTAATGTTTAGTAGATTGCCGTTTATTCTTCTAAATTGTCCAGAAATAGTGTGCATAATATCTCCCAGCTTTTCCCCTAGCTTCTGAATGTGGATATTGAGATGCTTAGTATGCGAGCATGTTTATTGCATTATAGTGCGAGTGCATGCATGCATACACGTGTGGTCATATTATATACATCGCCTGCCCCTTTATCTATATTTGATTTTGTTTAGTATTCCTTTGAACTGCCTCCTCTCTAAGAAGTATGTGTGAAGAGTATTAGAGTACCAATTTTGTTTACTGCTGTGCATAGGTTGAGTTGGTGGAACCGCCCAGTTCTGCTTCTGTTGGAGAAAGAATTACATTCCCAGGGCATGAAGGCAGTCCTGATGAACTCTTAAACCCAAAGAAGAAAGTTTGGGAGACATTGCAAGTCGATCTGCACAGTAATGAGAAGCTAGAGGCATGCTACAAAAACATTCCACTCACCACTTCAGCTGGCATTTGCACAGTTTCATCGATAAGCAATGGATCAATACGGTAGACAAACATCAAATATTGGTGTTTCAAATAGATTGGATAGAGAGAAGGAATTTTTAAAGGAAAAGAAATCATATTTTAGTTTAGTCATTATAATCTGACTATCAGATTTGTCAGTTTTTCATTCTGATAATTGTAGAATTTAAATTTACATTTACATTGTGTAATTTAACTTTTTGCTTCCCCATTTTAAATGGGCTGGTGCTGGTGCCAACTTGTTATCACCGTTGATTTAATTTTAATTTAATCGCCTGATTTTCTTTGTTAGACAATCTATGTATCTCTTCACTAGGTGGAGACCATTTGTTTGGTTTTAATTATACCCATAGTGCAGAGATTTTAACATGTTATCCTCAAATTTATACATGAAACCCCTCTAGAGTTTTATAATGTCCAAAATGTCCCTTGTGATGAAATAGAAAAGTATTCTGATAGTTTAATTTGAAAACTTTGATACGTTACAAATAATTTTGGAAATTTAAATATTTTTGGTAACATATTGGAAATTTAGTTGAAGTTGAAATTTTCAGTAGGTTATAAAAATCTATTTTATCTCGCTGTTATGATTTTGGTGAAGTTTTGTAGGGTTGTGATTGCATTGATAATTTTTTGTTAACGCAACACTACACTTTACTGGAGCACAAGATCCTGTGAAGTTTCAGATTTTGGACGGATTTTTGGTCCTCGAGCCACTGATGGAAAAGTTGGAAGAATTGTTGTTTGATACTGATAATAGAAGGGTGAGGAAGATTTCATACTGTGAAGATATGAAGGTCATGTGGATATCATACCGTCGAAGGCTAATTAAGGGGTCGTTGGAATTAGAAGCGCGGTTTGTCAGATTTGTTGACGATGTAATTAAGATGTTGGAACATCCAGAATCAACAAGTAGTGTTTAGGTTTTTATGTTTTAAGTTATGTAAGTTCTATGTTATGTTTCAAGTTATGTTAGTGTGCGAAAGATATGATGCTCAAAACAAAGTGATAATAAAAATTATGTGCTAATAACAAGTCTGTGTCAAAATGATAAATATAATACAACAATAACAACAACAAAAAACTACATAGGCCTCCCACGGGCTACGTGTGCTGCTCGCGCCAAACATGTATAAATCTCACCATCCGGACTTATCAAATCCATGAGGTTATCCATAATAGAAGCAATGATATGGAGGCGCTCCTGGTCATCTGTGTCGGGGAGAGGTGGCGGTGGCGAATCATATCAATAGAAACCTGAGTCTCAGAAACCTCGACATATGAATGGTCGATCGTAAGTGGGATGATGTGGAGGATGGAACACAGTGAGGTACCATTCCATGTATCCATCTTCACATTGTGACCCCTCCTGAACCCTCACTACTCTCTCTGTAATGGCACGAGCTGAGATGAGGATGTTACTCTGAAACAATATATCAATGTCAATGCCACCACTAGAAACATCTGGAACAGGCCGTGGGATGCCCTGGCACCCATACTATCGCAGACACCTCTCGAGCAGGTGTCTAGCCACCATGCTCTCCCACCTTAAATATCCTGAAAACAAAGAATTTGAATCAAACTGGCGTCGTGTCTTATAACCATCGTATAGTTTCCAAATGACATCCTCAACTGCCAAGGCATCCAACCTCCTCATGTACTCCAACAATCTGCCTGAATGCGCCTGTCTAGACCTCCATCTCCTCTCCCGTGGTGCATCCATTGTGACACGATGCTCCCCCTTGTCAACGATACGGGAGAAGTGCTCGTTTATCTAGCACTAATAACAGAAAACAAAAACAACAATCAATAAACAAGAAATGTCACAACTAACACACATACCTGAAGTATTCTCAAATATCCATAAATCTGCTTTGTCTCAAAGACAAACACAACTCCTAACGCCGTATAGAGAAAAATCAATGCACAACACCCCCAAGCCCAATTACCATGATCAAGATCACGAAACAACCATACATATCGAGCATCAATATAATTATGAGACTTGTCCGCAAGAACGGTGCACACTACTAGATGTAGCATGTTCGCCCTAGCGGCAACCTCATACATCTCAGTCAGCACAAAGTCATCGTACCTCTTTCAGAGCCAAGACAACGGCAAGTGAAGATCCCTATTGTAGCCAAACTCTTTAATCACCTCCTCCTCAATCACTACCATATCATGTACGATCATCGTCACAACATCCAACTCGTTGATAATAGAAGCGGTGAAAAACAACCCATCAATAGGGAGATGAAACAACGCAAAGACGTCATCCAAAGTAACTGTCATATCCCCAAATGAAAGATGAAAGGAAGATATCTCTGATTGTCACCGCTCAACGAAATCAGATAGGAGGGGAGCGTCTAGCATGATCAACTAGAAGTCGATCATGTCAAGGAGACCGAAATCCTGAATAATAGTTCTAACCCGCTCAGGCATCAGAGTCTGTGGTTAGTCCTTCAATTTGGCCTCGTGGGATGTCACCTTTAGCAGGATACGGTCCTATAACAAACAAAATTAAAAAAATCAACGAATTTTCAATAATAAATTATAAATAAGTTAAACTTCAACATATAATATATATACCTCTCCCTGCCATAAACGATAGGCAACACTGTCAACATAGTCTGTGAGCACATACTTGTCATTCGGTCCTCCTGGGAAGGCTCCACTAGTGTGAACAAATGCCTCTGTAGAAGAAAGGGTTGTAGCATCTGTATCAGTCAAAGTCTCCTCGTGACTAGGCACCTCCTCAACGGATACCTCAACATCAACATGCACCTCAACATCAGCAGAAGGCACCTCAACATCATCAAAAGGCACCTTAACATTCTCAAGAGGCACCTCAACAGTCTCAGGAGCGAGCACCTTCATAACAACAGGTACCTCCACAACAACAAGTACCTCATCAGCTATAACCTCATTACCAGCTTGACATCCGGGTGCACGAAATTGGGCCGACGCTTGCTCAACTATCCGTTTTCGATGTGAATCGGCCAGAGAAACTCGTCCAACCTGAAGCTGGGATGCCTCTACCTGTTAAGCATTGGCCTTGGCGGCAACTCTATCGGTCCTCCTGCCTCTAATGGTCCAGTGTTTCCCATTGGTCATCATTAAAAAAAATAGGAAAAACGAAAAAAAAATAATAACTACCAGAAATTTGTCAATTTCCGAAATTTTTTTTAAGAAAAAAGGGCAAACCGAAAATTTCAGAAAATCCGGTAGTCATAAACTTTAATTTTCAAAATTTCCGGTATACTAAAAGTTCAATATTTATGATAAAATGCTTACTTGTTCAACAAAATTTCCAGTATCTCAATTCTTTTTTCAAAAACGACAGTATGCTGAAGAAAATTTTAAAAAGGAAGAAAAATCCAACAAGGCTATTATAGTCTTTTTGTCACAAAATGGGGGTGCCATGTATAAGTCAGGGGTGACATGTTAAAACCTCCGTAATACATTTGTTAGAATTTACTATTGGCCTGTTTGTTTTAGTTTTTGAAAAATTAATTTTTATAGTATTATATAGTTTTGCTTAAAAGAACTTTTGATTTGAATAGTTATTCTTAAAGGTATTTCATTATTCTATTGAATTTTTTTCTGGATATAAAAATTCTCGGGTGATAATATGATATTAGAAAAAGAGTCTAGAAGTTTATAGAGCAGAAATGTGAAATTATACTCAATAATTATTTGCGTAACAACATAAATCACTTTACAAATATCGTAATATAGATGAAGAAACATAACATATGCAATTGAATTAATTGGATAAATCACGAGGTGTGGTTAAGCAATTAATCAACAAGGCAAATTCCAAAAGCATGATGTTTCTCAGATTTTAATCACCATTAAAGCTCTTGTTATATCTCTAATTCCAACAAAACTTAAGCTTATAAAATAAATCACCTTGACCGAATTTAAACCTAAGCATGCATGTTTTAGGAAATTCAAAAATAAGAGTAAGGGATAGAGAGAAGACACCAGAATTTATAGTGGTTCGACTTTGTCGTCCTCGCGTGAGTCTATGTCCACTTTAATAGTTTTTCCTTTTATTTTGATAAATATTTTGAGAGTATATACAATCATCAATCCACAATAATGTTGAAGAAAAATAAAAAATATAATCTTCAATTTGGATATTGACTTGTATATGGCTAAATGCCAAACTCTTCTATATAATTTTTACTCGATCAACACTTCAAATGCTCCAATATCACCAACTCCGCTCCAAGCATTTGTGTGTAGCAATCAACCCCTTGATCCTACCGATTCTTTAAGCGGTGAATTATCTGAAGATGAAAAAAGAACTTTGTCTTATCTATAGTCCTCCACACAGTCACTACTAAGGTAATTCAGGAGAGAAGACCTTCTTCTTTTCATTGGAACTTTCAGCACCAATGACAACAACCCCAATCTTGCAAGAACCTGAAAATCGTTTACCCAATATTCAAGAACGATTAGTTTCAAGACAACTTTTCCCTAAATCAATTAACAATTACTCATGATTAAGAAATGAAATTGAAACCAAGGTTGAATATGAAAGAATTTATAATGCAAGGATTTCAAAAGAGGTAGTTGATTTTTCACATGAGTTCACAAAACAATTATGAAATTCCACACGAATTCTCACAAATGATTATGAAAATCTTACATGAAAAGGTGTTGACAAATTTTTTTATATGTGCGTGAGATTAGCACAAAAAGACTGAGAAAAGTTAGTTAGATTCTAATCATAGAAAGTTCAGTTTTGAGTCAAGTGAGCAAGTAAAGTGAAATAAATGAAAATTATATTTTTGACCCATTTTTCAATTGATTCAAATTAATAACAAAATTTGATTCGAATCAAGGCAAACAATAAATCCTGAAAAATGCAAAAAAAAAAAAAAATAGTCTGATTCGAATCATGTTTAAAGTTTGATTCGAATCAAACTAAACAGAAGATCACAAGAAGAGTGTGATTCTAATCATGTTGAGAATTTGATTAGAATGAATTGGTTAAAAATTCTTGGAAAGTTTATGTCC